CTAACCCTCTAATCACATGGTTGATTCCCTCGCAACCAGCCCCCATCCACCGGGGTTTCCAAAATCACCTCATTAACATAAACTCTGGAGTGGCTGACAGGGGCTTGTTATGAATATCAATGTATCTCTATCAATCTCATCACTTAGAAAATTCCAAGAGTTTTAGGAGCTCTGCGCCCGGATTAGGGACAAAGACCAAATATGTATTTCTTACAAAAATCACATCACAGATGAAGATGTCTTATTTCACCTCACTCTTGAATAACAGTTTGGGGCATACATTCTAGACTTGATAGTTACTTTTCTCTCAGTACATAGAAGATACAATGCTACACACCCACTGGGCTTCCTGAGCCTAGGAAGTGGCAACTGCCATCCATTCTGGAAAATTCTCAGCCATTCTTTCTCTCCTTCCGTAATTCCACTTAGATCATTACATTCTATTAAGTCACTCTCTTCTTCTGTCTCTTAATCCCTTCTTTTCAGAGACTATATTCATAGATTTTAATTTATTTTTATCTCCAGAAGTTTTCTCTGATTCTGTTTCATGATCTATCTAATCATTTTATAGTCTCTTGCTTCTTACTAATATTTAAATGCCTTATTTCTTTAAATACACTAAGTATATTTATTTTATGTTATGTGTCTGGTTACTCCAATATCTGAAAAATCTGTGGGTTTGATTCTACTGTTTTTTCTGCTGACTCTTGTTTCTTTGGGGGTTAAATGAGTGTTTTTGGGTTTTTTGTTTGTTTGTTTTTTAACAACAAAGGTGTATTCCTTAGAATGTATTCTCTGTACAACTTGAGCTGGACAAGAGTTTCTAAAGAAAGGTTTACACTTGGATTTGCCAGACTTCTAGAAATACTACCACCCCCAGAGCTACTCTGTTTTTTTAAACAGCTAATTTTCAGAACTTTATACTTTTTACAAAACAAACTAAAGCAGACAGGAAAAGCAGCAACGAGCTTCCCCCAGGTATCTGTATTCAAAGGGTTCAGTGTGTATGAAATTGGAAGCGAACGTAAAGATTTAACACTGACTGGTCTCCTCTGGGTCATGTGCACCGGGCAGCTGGCTTTGGAGCGCCTCAAAGTCAGAGCTCTTTAAGCTCCAGTGTTTTCGTGAAAACTGACTTGGTTTGTCCAAGAAAGGGAGCACTCGCATTGTGTGGCAGCCTCCTTTTAAAAACACTGAGGTTGAACCCGGAAGGTGTATTTCTTTGGGTCTGCACCAAATATTTTAAGGTCTCTGTTACCTGGAGAACACTGAAGACATTTTTGGGACACACGACCTCCAAGGCAGCATTTCACGCAGAAGCTGACCGTGCTTAATACCATGGCCCACCTCCTTTCTCATTAACTAGTGGCTCCCACATCAGGTCACAGAAGCTCATGCTCACGCCAATGGACTGACGTTCTACAAAAACCACTGTCCAGAGAAGACGCCTAGCTCTCGACTCTGGGGATCCACAGACCGTGAGAAGCCCTGAGCGTTTTTAATTCCCATCACAGACAATGGCAGCGCCGTCAGCACAGGGGCTCCTGTGTCCTTTATTTATATGTTGTGAAGACCCCCGTCATTCCTGCCCAGAGGCTGTCCTGCCTTAATTTTGTTCTATTCCCTAACCACCTGGTGTGACTGAAGGTACCCCAGGAGCGGCACCTCAGATGCTGCTGCCCACCCAGCCTGACCACCTGCTCTCAGTTTGCGGGGACGGAAGAGATCAGAACTGCCTGGCTATTTCCTCGCCTCGCAGGACTGGCCAAGCGCTCCCCGCCCCCCATGTCTCCATCACCTTTAATATCCCAGTCCCTCTCTGTGTCTCCTGTTCCCCTGAAGTGCCCAATAGCTCCCCACCCCCAGCTCCACTCTCCCCACCTCCTCCTGAAATGACTCCTAGCTGCATCTGGCTGCAGGTTCTTGGGGGGGGGTTCTGCTGCTCCCCCCGACACCAGGATGGCTCCTTTGTTGCTCAGTTCCCCATCCCAGCTCTGTGGGTACCAACAATCCACAGGGACAGGCCTGTCTGCCTTTTGCCCTGGGTTCTCAGGCCACAGCTCAGAATCACCAAGTTCCTGTCTCCTCTGGACTCGGCACTCCATCACTGGTCCAGGCCTCTGAGACCTCTTCCCTTCTAGTCAGTCCAGTAAACCGGGGAAACTCCACTAAAATATTTTATCTGGTGTGCTCAGGTGTTCAAGAAAGAGCATCTCAATGTATCTGGTCTACCCAAAACCAAGTCCCAGCACCTGCCACTCAGAATGAAACCAGAGTTCCACATGGACCAGTTGTGGGTCACACTTTAATAGCCACTCTGGGGTATCTGGTGGGACACCCCATAAACACGAGATTCACATTGCAGTGGGAAAATGGAAATCAGTGGTTTAAAGCGGGGTTAAGTCAGTCATCCCCTCACTGTGAAGACATGCCTGCATCAGAAAGCAGCAGCGAGTAAACCAAGCTGAAGCTCCTCTCTGCACCCTGGGCCCTGCTGTCCCAGGGCAGCCTCCCCTACCCCAAGCTCCTGAGGTCTGCGGGGCACGGAGGGGGCAGGCAGGGCTGCTGACACCACCGTGGGGCCGAAGCTGTGCAGATGGGGCACCCTGGCAAGAAATGGTACTGGGGCTCCCCCAGCTGGTTGCCCCTGAGCACAGGGATACACTTGGGAGACCCCTGGTGGGTGTGAGCAGTGTATACACCTCGACTCACAGACACCGCCACTCCACCCGGCCCCCAAGATTCTCACCCTGAGACCTGCCCCCAAGCCAACATGGTAAGACAATTCCCGGAGCCCACTTGTCCCTTCAGCCACCCCAGACACTGAGAAGCCTCCTCCCCAGGCCAGCCCGAGCAGACTCAAGAGGGATGCTCAGACACATCCTGGAGCATCCCTGGCTGATGGATGAATGACCTCCAGGCCTATATGGTTTGGAGCCTCATCCAAGGTCTAGTGGAAGCTAGGGCTCAGCATAGCACAGAGGCAGGTGCAGGGCTCACCCCTACCTGCCCCCAGTTCCCAAGAGGCTCCTGCTGCTCTGGCCACAGAGCTGCCAGGAGAGGATGGCCCACCCTGAGCATAGGACCCTCCAGAGGAAGCATGGTGGGCTGGGAACACCTGGCATGCCCCCCCCATACCTGCAGCCCTGGGAGGCCCACGTATACTTGGGGAGCCTCCAAGCTGGTGTTCGTTCAACTGGGCCACCCTGGGAGCGGGGGCCGGCCTACAGGGTGCAGCAGATGGACAGAGGCCCTGTGCAGGAGTGCAGGGACATCCAGGGCTAGTTGGTAGCTGTGGGCCACCAGTCTGGCACAGATGCAGTCAGGGCCACTAGACCGCTCTCAGAGGTTCTGATGTGGAGAGGGCCCTTGACTTTCTCTGCCCGCAGCAGAGCCAACCCCACGTCCCCCTGGCCTGCCCGGTACTTGCCGGCTGCCTGACCTGACTCGGTGAGCACGGAGGTGCCGGGGGCGATGCCGCCCACCGGGAGGGGGCCTGAGAGCTGTACTGGGAAGAGGCGCTTTCGGATGACACCCATGTGGTGGGTGCGGGCCGTCAGCTCCTGGCCAATGTAGCAGCCCTTGGTGAAGCTGATGCCGTTCATGAAGGCCAGGTTGGACTCCAGGGGCAAAGCCACTCCTGGGGGCAGGTCGTGGATCCCCTCGGGAACACCTGTAGGGGTGGGAGGGGAGAGGCTTAGTGAATCCCAGACTCTGAGGTGACCTACAGAGAGCTGGCAGCTCAACCCAGGGAGGCTGGCAGTGCTGGCCTGTAAGAGCCCCACCATCTATCCCCCACAATCCTCCGGGTCCCTCCCATTCTCCAGGTCCCTGCTGCAGCTCCCCATCCTGGTCCCCAGGTCAGCACCTAGGTCTTGTCTTATCCCAGACCCCTGCTCCCTCCCCTGGCTCCTCCCAGAGCCTGGGCCCACCACAGAGCTTCCCCAGGGCCCTGTGTCACACCCCTCCTCCCCCTCCAATCCCACCCTAATCCCTCCCCACCATCCAGCACTTCTCCCTCACCCTTCCCCAGGCCCAGTCCCATGTCCATACCTTGCTGGTACCGGTGCCGGTGATAATCCTGGAGGTCCCCAAGCTGGGACCCGGGCACCAGGGCTGAGCCCTCATCCTGGGAGAGGAGCCGCCAGCCCATGCGGGCTGTCCGGGGATCACGGGTGAGGACGGCGGTGCCCTCGGCCTTCTCCTGCAGCGGTGCAGCCCTGCTGGCGTCCTCAGAGGCACAGGGCAGCACGGCCCACACGCGCAGCTCAGGGCATGGCTCCACCGTGACCCTCCGCCGGATCCTGTGCAGCACCAGATGCCTCTGCAGCGCGTCCAGCACTGACGTGTCACACTCCAGGAGGAAGGTGGGCTGCTCATCCGAGTGCTCAAGGAGCCTGCAGGGGGAGGTGGGGTGGGCAGGGCACATGGTAGGAAGTGCGCAGGGTCAGGCCACGCCCATGCACGGCTGTGCCTTCCAATGCAATGGACCACCCGTGGACCACCTGGTACTGCTGCACAGCGCAATGCATGCTAGAAACCTCATGGCCAGTACAGGACCCCTCCTCACCCACGAGGAGCAGTCTGACCAGTGGAGGAGAGGCCTTGGCCGGACCGCTGAGAAGCAGGGCCCTGGGACCACAGTGGTGTCAGGTGCTCAAGGTCACACTGAGGTCCAGGATTTGCCTCCTCCAGCCCTGAGAAGCCACTGAGAAAAAGCCAAGGGTTCTAAGGCAGGGTGCACAGTGGATCTCAGCAGGGATGCGGGCGGGCAGGAAGAGCTGGGGGTACAGCAGGCAGCTGATGTAAGGTGAGATGTGTGGTGAGGCCACATCCTGCCCAAGGCCACCTCCCACCTCCCCTAGGAAAGCCCCACAACCTGATCAGAGCCCCAGAACCATCCTAACCTGCACTGGCAGCCAACATGCACTGGAAGGACCCTGGATCCTACTGTGGTGACCAGACGGATGGTGGAGCCATCACGGACAGATAAGCACAAAGGAGAGGCAGTGCACCACTGGACATGGAGGAGAACCCCTAAATGGAGACTTCTAGGACCCACAGGGGTAGAAGGCTGAGGTCCTGGCTGTACATATGGATTGAGCAAGGACCCACAGCCAGGTGGGAGCTGAGACGAAAACGTGGGTAAGACGTTCTAGGAGTACATATAAGGAAAAGGCCATCAGCTGGTACCCCCGCCCCCGCCCCCCCCCAGAGCCCACCAGCTGTGCCCCCAACCTCCTACCCAGGCAGGAAAGGGTTAAGTGCTGCCCTGAAGCAGTCAGTCACCCCCAGAGGAAAAAGCTGCAGAGGCTTGCTCTGTGTGCCGATTTGCTGTGGGTTCACCCCACAGCACAAAACCTTCCATGTCCCTGCACGTAACTACCAGCCGTGGGTCCAGTAAGGACATCAACAACCACGTGGAGAAAGCGGGAAAGAGCAGGCTACAGCAGCAAGCCACGTTAGCCGCTCACCTCCCAAACAGTCCTGAAAGAAGGTCAAAACTGAGATCAGCTGTGGGGTGGGGAAAGGGTCATTTACAGCCGGAATTAAAAGGCCAGAACAAACAGAAGAATTCAAAGGCGCTGCTGCAGATAACCCCACGAAAAGAAGTTCAATGTCACTTATCACGAGGCAAAACCCACCGTGACAGACACCAGGGCACAGCTATCAGAAAGGCTGAAATAAAAACATCCAAGGCAGAGAGAACGCAGAGGAGAAGCTGGATCATTCAGCCTTGCTGGTGGGAATGTAAATGGAGTGGCCATTCTGGAAAATGGATTGTTCTTTATAAAACTAAATACATAGCTACCACACGACCCAGCCATTGCACTCCTGGGCACTTACCCCAGGGAACACCCCAGGTGTTCACAGAAAACCCACGCATGAACATTAGGAGCGGTTTTATTCTTAACAGCCAGGCAATGAAACCAAGATGCCCTTCAGCGGGTGAACAGTTCACACACTGTGGTACATTCTCTCGGTGGAATAGTACTCAGCAAGGAAGAGGCTGAAGGGCATCGAGGTGAGTGAAACCCAATCTTAAGAGACTCTGTTCATTCGATACTCCTGAAATGACACAGTCATAGAGATGGAGGGCAAGCAGCTGAGTACCTGAGAGCAGAGTTTAGAAGGGAGCCTGATAGTAATGGAAGAGCTGTCTTGATCGAGGTTCCCCAGGTCCACACACGTGTGAGCAAATCACAGAGCTGCAGGCACACGTGGAAATCTGGAGGAACCTGGGTGCACCCTGTGGCTGGCCCACGTCAGTCCCCTGGTTGTGACTTTGGACTACAGAAGGCAAGGTGTTGCCATTGTGGGAACTGGGTGAAGGGGACATGCAACCTCCCTGTTCGTTTTTTTGTGGCTTCCTGGGTATCTGTAATTATTTCAAAAGAAAAAGCAAAAAGAAAAGGGAGCTGCCTCTGGAGAAGATGGGTTTGTGCCGGTGAGACACAAGGGAGACAGCAGTCAGTTTTCATCATAAGCCTTTAAAGGTTAGGGGTTTTAACCATGTGCAGTTACAGTTTGATTTTTTAAATCTCTGATAGAGGAAGCAGGCAGAAACGGTATGAAATACTGGCAAGGGGAGGAACTGAGCATGGGTGAGCAGAATGTGAGGTTGCTGGGGAGAGAAAACCTTGGGAGGAGGAGGGAGAGATGCAGGTAAAGCCATGGCCACGTTGGGAAGAGACCCAGCCGGGGCAGGGCCCTGAGGAGGGGTGGTGATGGGACCACCAGAGTGCCGGGGTGGACAGGACCCCTGATGCCTCCATCTCACTCACGGGGTGGACGTTCCATGGGCACAAGATGGGCTTGGGTGGGGAGCAGGGCCAGGTTCTGGGCTCAGGCACTTTCTAAGCTACCTGTGCAAATGGCCTCATGCCATTCAGACCCTAAGGAATGACAAAGCTGCAATGTACCTCTGCCCCACCTCCCCAGATCTGTCTGCTGCCCCTGCCACAGGTGAGTAACGGGGGACAGGTCAGCAGGAGAAGGGGTAAGGTAGGGTGAGCCATGCTCAGGGCAGCCTTCTTGGCCGGCATGGCCAACAACGGGGCGATCTGGAGTACTCTGTGGGGTCATCTGGGCTCTGCTGGGTGCTGAGAGCACCCCTGGGTCCAGCCCACTCAATGCCAGGAGCATCCATGCCTGAGTGACAACCACAAATATCCCCAGAGAAGGCAAAGTGCCAGATCAAATACAGGATGCCCAGTCAGATGGAAATTCCAGACGAATAGTAAATAATGTCTTCAGTGTAAGTATTTCCCAAACACTGCATAGGTCATCCCTGAAAAGTCTGAGATTTACCTGAGCGTCTTGCAATTTTATTTGTTAAGCCCAGCAGCCCTTCCTGGAGCACAACCATGGCAGCAGGAAGACAGAGGTGGAGAGGCAGCTGCAGCCTCCGCAGCGGGGCTGGCAGGCAGGATCTGGATATAGGATGTGGTGGCAGTGTGATCTCAGGCGACCGTCCTCAGCCCAGGACGCGGGCTGTGTGAAAACCCGAAAAGGGAGGGTCAAGCCCACCTAACCCCTCCCCCAGAACACCGAGCGGGCCCTCCTCCAGCAGCCTGATGCCCTGCACAGTGCCTGCCACCCTGGTATCCGTCACCTCCATAAACACAGGGACCTCACTCCTCAAGTGCAGCCCTGGACCCAGCTCTGCCCCAACCTGGGTCTTTACACATAAACTGGAACAGCCACTTTGGAAGACAGTTTGGTGGTTCCTTCAAGACTACACGTATTCTTACCTTACAAATCCAACAATCACGCTTCTTGGTATTTACCCAAAGGAGGTGAAAACTAACGCTCACGCAGAAACCTGTACACTGATGTTTACAGCAGCTTTATTCATAACTGTCACAATTTGGAAGCAACAGCGATGTCCTTGAGTAGGTATAGATATATAACCTGTGGTACATCCCAGACGATAGGATATTATTCAACACTAAAAAGAAATGAGCTATCAAGCCATGAAAAGACATGGAGGAAACTTAAATGCATACCGCTAAGTGAAAGAAGCCAATCTAAAAAGGCTGCAAACTCCGTGATTCCAACTATGTGACATTTCGGAAAAAGTGAAACGATGGCGATAGTTCCAGACACAAAAATACCCTTTGAATGGCTGTGAGGAGCTAGGAGGGACAAACAGGTGGAGCACAGAGGATTTTCAGGGGCAGTGAAACTACTCTATATGATATTATAATGATACATACATGTTATCATACATTTGTCCAAAACCATAGAACGCACAGCACCAAGCGAACCCTAATGTGAACTTCGGGGAATTTTGGTGTCAATGTAAGTTCATCAGTTGTAAAAAAAATTGAACCCACTGTAAACTCTGGAGAGGGATGCTGATAACAGGGGAGGCTATGCATGTGTAGGGGCAGAGAGTATACGGAAAATCTCCGTACCTTCCCCTCAATGTCGCTATGAACCTCAAACTGCTCGAAACAGTCTACTTTAAAAAACAAAAACTAAAGCTTTGTCTGAGAAACGGTGTCACATCTGGGAACAGGGTGCACTGAGGAAGCCACAAATCAAGAATGGGAAACCAGAAGCATGACAGTTAAAATGAAAAATTCCAGAGAGAGAAGATGCAAAGAAAATGCCAGGCAGTGAGAAAGCATGAGGAAAGCAGGGAGGCCCCAGGCCCCACCGCCAGTGTGGCCCTCTCCTCGGAGAGCAGACTTCAGTGAGATCAGGTGTAGGTGAATGGCCAACAGCAACCAGGAGGGGAGGGAGCACACCTCGGAAGCCAACAGCAGGCGTGAGACCTGAATGGAGGCACTGGGACAGGGTGCAAGGCCAGCGGGCTCAGCCCCCTCTTCCCCCTGGCCCCATGCCCCCTGCCCCAGAGCAGACCTGGGAGGGATGAATCTGGACACTACTTATCAATCCCTCAGGCCAAGAGCAGCCATCTGAGGGACTGTTTTCACCTCTTCTCTCCACTAACTGCTCAGAAGTAGGGCCACTCACTCAGGCTGCCTCTGTCCAAGAATGAAGACCCACCACACCCCACCCTCAGGGCGGCACTCCTCGCAAGGACTCTGAGTTGGAATCTCACAAGAGCAACTGGGCTCAGGGGGCAGTATCCCAGTGCTCCCCAATTCCCCCAGTGCAGAGAGCAACTGGCACAGGGATACCCTATTGTGAGCAATTAACAAAGAAAGAAAAGCAAAAAAATCCTCTGCAGAACAAATCAGGGCACACACAATGTCTGGAAAGAACCACCAAGCACATGCCCGGTGACAAGAGCTGCCGGCCCAGCAGCCAAGCAAAGACGGGCCAGACCAGAAGGAAATTACAACAGAAAAAAACAAAAACCTAGAAACGAAAAAATTGTTTTACACTGTAGGGTGACTCATGAGGATATAAATCCATGATAACAAGAATGCAAAGGCAGAAAGATGTAAAGGCAGACTGGAGACTCAAGGAAGGAAATTTGGGGACCAAAAGATCACTAAAACCATGATAAACTAAAAAGTGAAACGACCAAACTAGAGGTGACTGAAAAGAGGTGACACAGAGCTCAAGATAAGCAAAGAATGCAGTTTTTGAAAGAGATTAAAGCAACTACAGGAAAGATAATTATATATGACAGATCATGACAATGGTTTCTCTGAAACAGGGGACACAGAGTAGGGATCACAAAAGTTTCCTGTAAAGGATCAGAGAGTAAATAATTTAGGTCTGAGGCTAGACGGTGTCTACCACGCTTTTATTCTTACTTTTGCTATTGGAAGGCAAAAGCAGCCACACAGTACGCAAACAAATGGGCACGCAGCATTCCAATCAAACTTTATTTTACAGAAACAGCAAAAGGGCTGGATCTGCCCAAGGGTCGTACTGTAGCAGAGTCATAAAGCCCACCCAGTGCTCAGAAACACGACACGAAAGAAGACCCAAAATACAACACACCACCATGACACTTCAAGACAACAGGATAAAGAAGAGCCCCCAAGAGCTTCCAGAGGAAAAGTAGTCACACACAAAGCCCCAGAAACAAAAAGGCACTAGGCTTCTTAACAGCAACGCCAGCAGCACCAAGTCATGGCTTCAAAACGTTCAGGGATGATTTTCGGCCTGGAGTTTTATGCCCACCCAAGATACTGGATAAAACCATTTGAAGGAGTAAAAGTATCATACCTCCCAGCAAGCCACTAAAGAACGTACTTCCTCCTCCAGAAGGCAGTACACTAAGGAAGATGCAGATGAGAACCCACAATAAAAGAGGGACATGGGAGTTGCCAAGGCAGCCACAGGCAGAGCAACTGCCTGGAACTGCATGAGAGGTTCTGGAGGAACCAAGTCCGAAAAAGCTCAGCAAGTGAAAACCACAAGTTCTATACGACAAAGGGCAAGGCCACCGACTTGGCTTGTTCTTGTGACCAACACGGACAGTCGTGATAAGGTCGGCAGAGACTGATGTAAACACACGCTAATATTACTGAATACGAAATTTTGGAGAGAAACGCACACCGGAGTGTACACCGGAGAACTCAGTGAGCAGTGGCACAAGCGGCTCCCCGCAGTGTGGCTCCAGGTGCCACGACCCCTTTTCCGTGCAGTGGGTCTGAACAGGAGAAGAGGCCAGGTGCAGGAGAGTCCAGGCCCTCCCATGGGTGAGAATCGCAGGCCCATTCGTGGGTGCCGGCTCCAGTCCACCGATGGCTGCCCTGCCCGGGCGCCTACCCCGAGCCCACCCCGTGTGCAGGTCCCCAAGTGTCCCACCATGGGCGCCCCTCCAATCCGCAGACGCCGTCCCACCTCGGCCCACCCTGTCTGTGCACAGGCTCCCAGATGTGCCTCCAGTGGATGGCCTGCCCTGCTCGTGCTCTCCCGGATGTCCATCCTGGGCCACACGGAGTCTTCCCGTAGGTGCCCCGCCTCTGGATGCCCTAAGCTCCGCCCTCAGCCTGCCCCTCCCCCGTGTCTGCCCACCCGAGAGCCCTCCAAGGGAGCCCATCCCTCAGCCCTCCCCCAACCCCCGGAGCCTATCCCCCACCATGCTCTCACCCGTAGAGAATGACGTCATAGAGCGTGCGTCCCTGGACATTGAGAAAGTGGGCGTAGCTCGCGCGCGCCGGGGCCGAAGCCGAGCCGGCCGCAGGACCCGGAAGTGGCAGCTCATTGGTCAGCAGACCCAGGAGAAAGGGCGCCGAGTCCGGTCCGCGCACGCGCACAAGGGCGCGCTCGCCCAGCAGGAAGCAAGCCCAGGCCGCGCCGCCCTTGGGGCCGCCGCCCTGACAGTAGGCGCCGTGGGCCAGGCGGCGCCTCGGAACCGCGCGCAGCCGCCAGCGCCAGGCCGAGCCGCCGCGCCCTGGAGTTGCGCCCCGGAGCAGCGCCGCGGCCGCCATCTTTGGGGGGAATGCGACGGCGGGAAGGGGCGGCCCGGGCGGCAGCTCGGGCGGGCCCCACAGTAGCTGCTGGAGGCAGGCTAGCGGAGCGTGCGCAGCGGGGCGGTGCGCGGGGTTGGGGGGAGCGGGTACGCCACAACAGCCCTTGGCGGCGGGAGCGCGGGGCGTGGGCGGGGCGTGCGCGAGCATGCGCGGGCCGGCACCGCAGCAGCCCCTGGAGGCGGGCGAGCGGTGCTGGCTAGAGAGTGGCCGGGGTGAGAGTGGGCGGGGCGTGCTCGGGGGCGGGGCCTCTGGCTGTCGGTCACCCACACACCCCTCCGAGGCAGGGGGCTACTCGTGTACTTGGCGTGTCCTCGATTCTCAGAGCTTAGTTTCTGCTTGCTTGATTGTGGTGAGGTGCGCATAACCTAAACTTTACCATCTTAACCATTTTTAAGTACATAGTTTCAGGGGTGTTAAGCGCATTCACACTGTGCAGCAGTCATCCCCATCATCCAGAACTTTCTCATCTTCTGAAACTCGGGCCTTTTCAAACACTGAGCCCTAGCTCCCACCCCAGCCCCTAGGAGCCTTATTCTACTCTATTTCTATGAATGTGACTCCTCTGGGAAACTCATAGAAGTGGAATCATGCACTATTTGTCCTTTTGTGACTGGCTGGTGTCTTCCAAGTACCTCTGTGATGTAGCATGTGTCAGTCTTTCTTTTTAAGGCTGAATAGTATCCACTGTATGTATGTATACCAAATTTAGATTATCCATTCACCCATTGATGGACATTTGTGTTGCTTCCACTCATTGGCTATTATGAATAATGCTACTATGAACACTGTGCAAATATCTCTTTGCAATTTTGCTTTCAGTTCGTTATTGTGTGAAACACACATTGCTGTGTGTCCTATACTTTCACACTACTCTTCACTTCTGACACTTCTGATCACTAAATGTGGGGAGGGGGCGGGGGTAGAATCTCCATTCCACACAATTTTCTGACACCAGTTGGGTGTCTTACAGTTTAACTCAATTCTGAAACCATCTACCTGGAGGTAGCATCAGATCCCATAAGACTGCATGCACACTCACTCGCTCTCACGCTCTCTCTCTCTCTCTCTCTCTCTGTCCCTGTCTCTCTATCTCTCTGTCTCTTTCTTCAGATATCAGTTGAAGTCCAGGTTGTCACCTGTGCTTCTGACCAACCAACTATACATCAGAGTTGCCAACAGCCAACAGCCCACTCCTTAGGTTCAATTAATTTGCTAGAGTGCCTCACAGAGCTCAGAGAAACATATTACTTACTAGATTACTGATTTATTATTGTTGGCGTCACGATATCAATGTACACACACACACTGTATGCGGAGAGAGCTGATGGCTACTCTAAAAGTTTATTAAGCTACACAGGCTTATAAAGCAGAAGAGAACAATCTGGAAAATGTTTAACTATGGTATGACATTTTTATGACTCTCTACAGGCACAGACTGTTTTTAGTTGAAGATCGTAAGATCCTTTGACGTTCTTGATCAGTTATGTTCATCATGGAGCCAGTGAGCCTTACATCTTATCAGGGCGGAACATACGGGAAAATAGCTGCTTGATGATACTCTTTCTGACTCAGGCGGCTGTGCCTGTCTTAGGTTGCCCCCCTCTGGGGATCTTACCCGTCATTGGCTAGCCAGCCCTCACACCTCTGAGTCTGCAGCTTTTTATAACTTGTTTACCAGTCCTGCCCAAGACTTATTCCTTTGTTCACCTAATCGGGGGGCTACAATTATAAAAGGGTATAACTCAGGAACATCCGGGTGGAGGAGATGCATAAGGCAAGGTATGTGGGAAGGGGCACACCACTCTCCCCAAATCTATGTGTTCCCCAACCCAGAAGCTCTCCAAGCCCTGCCCTTTTGGGTTTTTATGGAGGCTTCATTACAGCGATGTGATTGATTAAATCATTGACCGCTGGCTATTGATTGAATCCCCAGTCTCTCCTTCCGAGAGGTCAGGGCATGGGGCTAAAAGTTCTAACCCTGGTTAATCACATGGCTGGTTCTCCTGGCAATCCCTTCTCTCACCCGTAGAGAAAGATGTCATAGCGCTTGTGTCCCTGGACATTGAGACTCTTTGGGTCTTTCCAAAATCGCCTCATTAACATAAATTGGTTGACAAGAGCTTGTTAACAATATCAAGACACCTTTATCACCCTTATCATTTAAGAAATTCCAAGGGTTTTAGGAGCCCTGTGCCAAGAATAAGGATGGAGATTAAATGTATATTGCTTATTGTAAGTCACAATACCACAGGTGTATCCCCGGAAGTGAGACTGCTGCATCATATGGTAATTCTGTGTTCACATTTTTGAGGAACCTCCATACTATTTTCCTAAATGTATTAGCTCAGGCTTCATAACAAATTCCATAGACTGAGTGGCTTAAATGACATTTATTTCTCAGTTCTGGAATCTGGAAGTGTGAGATCCAGGTGCTGGCAGGGCTGGTTTCTGCTGAGGCCTGTGAGCAGCACTGCAGAGGAACAAGGCAAGGGGTTAAGACTGTGCTAGCAAATAGCGTGGGGCTCCAGGGACATCCTTGGGTCCCTGCTCCGTCTCCCCTCGCTCTCACCAGCCTCATCCAGCTGCAGAACTTTCCATGCTATCCACATGCCAACAGGTCCAAACTGATGTGTAGTCCATGCATTTCTCCCAAATCCCAGGCCTCATCGCCTGTTTTGACACTCCTTCCATGTCTGATACTCAAACCGTGCATGTACAGGTGTGACCTTCACATGTCCCCAGTGTCCTGCAGCCCTAGCGCCTGGTAGCCCCCACTGTCCCATACCCGGCACACAGCCTGGTGTTGGCCTCCACACCTCGCATCCTCATGTGTCGCTCCAACAGAATTCAAACCCCCACACTCCCCTCCCATCTCATCAGAGTCAGCTCCAGGGCAGAGTTCCCTCTCCTGGTCTCCCTCCCCTGTTCCCAGCCTCAGCAGAACCCCCAACAGCCACAGGGCTCATGCCTCACCTCACTGTCAGACCCAGATGCCAGCCCCTTACAAAGCCACTCTGACCACCTATGTGTGCGTTTCCCCACTTTTCTATTTGAAACTTTTAACCTACAGAAATTGTAAAAGAATAAACTCCTCAGCCCGCCCTCCTTCACACTGAACACTCCTTAGTTGTCATGCCTCTGGTTTTTGCTCTGGAGTTCCAAAGGCAGGGATCTCTGTGCAGCTCCCTGCTGCATCCCCAGGGCCCAGCACACATCAAGGGCACAGATAATATTGATTAAATAAACAAATCCCTGTCTAGGCGGATCCCTGTAAAGGACCCATCTGAGCACCACAGTCCAGCCTCAGCCAGCTGTCCTCCCGCCACCCATCCCTCTGCCCAGCCTCCTCACCCCTCTCTGTCCAGCTCCTATTTGCCCCTCCAAACCCTCCTCAAGGCTTTGCTGCCCAAATCCTGTGAGGTCCCAGACCCTTCTCAGCTGGGCCTGGCAAGTCAGGACTGACTGCATGATCAGGGCATGGAGGGGCCCAGCCAGAGCTCCCCAGGGTCGCCCAAGCCCTCAGTCCCCCTCCTGGCTGCCTTCCTGGTTATGACCAGCCAGGCTTGGAATGTGGCTCCACTGACCTTTCATGGAGAAGGTCTTCCTCTGCTGGGTCTGTGTTCTGAAGGTGAGCCAGCACCTCCCTGCCAACCCTGTGAGGGCAGGGAGGAAACCACTGGAGGACAACATGGGGTGGGGGTGTGCATTCCTCCAGCCTCACGTCAGCCCATCCCTTGGCCAGCAGAGGAACATGCTTCCCACTGGCACAGCCTGCAGGAAGGGCCAGTAGGCCGACCTGGGGCCACCTGGAACCTCCCCCGACCTTCCAATCCAGTGTCGAGCCCAGCCCGCTTGGCACTGTCCAGCAGGTCCACTGCTGAGGCTGTTTAATGCAGATTAACTCAGATGAAGTCAAGTGAAACTTTTAGCTCCTTGCTGCATGGGTCACACTTGAAATGTCCAGAGCCGCTCTCAGCTGGTGGCTGCGTCCGTGGACAGAAAAAGGAAACATCTCCCACCATCCCAGAATCTGCCAAACAGCACTGCCCCAGGTTCCCTCTTCTGGGAAGCCTTCCCGGATCTCAGCACCAGTCTGGTTACTGCTTCTTCTCAGGTCCCCTCACTTTGTCCACAGGTCTGGATGGAGGGAACTGTGGCTTGGCTTCAAGGAACACCCCCCATTGGCCTGGGTCCAGCTGGGGACATAGGTTGCTGCTAGATCCCATGTGCAGTCTCCTCCCTCTGAGGCCACAGGCCTCGGAGCTGTCAGGAGGGGTGGGGAGCTGAAAGCTGGAAAATCGGCAGGCATGGGGGTCCCAGACCCTGTTTCCCAGCCGCTGCCAAGCCAGGGGTTGTTTCCTGTTATTCTCTCCTCATGGCCTCCTCCCTTCCAAGGCAGAAGAAGGAAACTGCCCCGTTCTGGGGGTGTTGGAGTGCCCGCCTCCCTGTAGCCCTCCACGATCTCCCTGAGCAGCCGGCGAGTTGGCTCCAGCCATGGAAACGGATGAGAATGAGACGAGGCCATTCTGTCTGCTCCTGCTCCAGCCACTCCCCTGGCCTGGCCCTGCCCCTGTACAAACCTAGGTGGGCCCCACACAGCCAGAGGACCCCACCAGGCAGGGAAGCAGGGATAGGAGACCTGGGCTTGGCCCACCAGCCTGCTCTAGGGCACAGAAGATGGGGACAGGAGGGGTGGCTTTGCACCCCAGTTCAGCTCTCCATTCAGCCACTGAGAGGGTTTGGGGTTTTGGTTTTGGTTTTTTTTAAGTAGCTGAATGAGCATTAAGTGCCAAATTTAGTGGTTGAGTTCCATCTCTGAGGGTTAACAGACTTGAACATCTTAGGTACCATGTCCCAGGTGGGCGATCGACACCCTGTTAGGGTATCAGAGCTCGGGCATGAAATCATGGTTATGATGGTTCAGAACATCAAGAAATTGGTGTTGGAGGTAGAAACATGGATGACACAGAGGTTGGCTCCCCTGGCCTGGGAGGGCCAGTAAAATCAGGGTTAGGGCTAGGGCCCTGAGTTCCTGAAGCAGGAGGCCTATGCCTTAGAATTCCCTTCTCCTGTGGTGATTGAGCTTTTGGTTGGGCATCTGCCTTCTATTATGGGCTGCACTGTATCCCCCCAAATTCACCTTTTGGAGTCCTAATGCCCAGGACCTCAGAATGGGGCTGTATTTGGAGATGGGGGTCTTTAAAGGGGTGATTACGATAAGATGAGTTCCCTAGGGTGGGCCCTAATGCAGTAAGACCGGTGTCCTTATAAGAAAAGGAGATGAGGACACAGGCACACACAGAGGGAAGATCATGTGAGGTCACAGGGAGAAGACAGCTGTCTGCACACCAAGGAGAGAGGCCTCTGATGCCAACGCCTTGATCTTGAACTTCCAGTTTCCAGGACTGAGAAATAAATGTCTGTTGTTTGAGCCCCGAGTCTGTGGTATTTGTTACACAGGCCGAGCTGACTGAGATGCCTTCCAGAATAGAGCCTCCATTTGCAGCTTCCCTCACAGCTAGGATGCCCTGTTAATAAGCTCTGGCTGGGATGTGTATTAGTTGGGGTTCTCTGGAGAAACAGAACCAATTCAATATATACAGAGAAAGGTTTATTATAAGGAATTGGCTCACTCAGTTATGGAGGCTGAGAAGTTCCAAGGTCTGCCATCTGCAAGTGGGAGACTCAGGAAAGCCGGTGGTGTAGTTCCAGCCCGAGTCTGACTCTAAGGATAGAAGACCAATGTGCCAGCTCAAGCTGTCAGGCAGGAGTTCTCTCTTACTCCATTGATTTTTTTTCCCCCTACTCAGTCCTTCACCCGATTGGACAAGGCCCACCCATCCTAGGGAGGGCCATCTGCTTTATTCAGTGTGCAGATTCAGTGTCAGTCTCATCCAGAATCACCTCACAGACACACCCAGAATCATGCTTGTTCTGGGCACCCCAGGGCCCAGTCAAGCTGATGCAAATTTAACCATTACTGACTGGAGGCAGAATCACTTCTTCTTTGGAAACCTCAGCCTTCACCCATCACCTGATTGGATGAGGGCCACCCACACTGGAGAGGATGGTCTGCTTTATCAGAGTCCACAGACTGACAGTGTTAATCTCATCTAAAACCACACCTCCCCCACAGCATCTAGATTGGTGTTGGACCAAACCCCAGTGCACTGAGACTCACAGCCTGATCCACATCTGACTTCCGAGTCATGGACACACAGCAAACGGATTTCCCCAGCAGCCCCTGGGCAGAGTTCCCCTCCCATTGACCCAACTACCTTAAATTGTATCTAAACCAATTAGGAGGTGGGGGGGGTATGAGATGATAGAAACTGGACAGACTACACTGTGTGGGGTGAATTATGGACTGATATCAGGACTGTGGTAAAAGAAGGGGCCAGTGGTTGCAAAAACCCCAAGATCACGAGCCCCTGTGTGGGGGGAAGGTGGGGGCCAAACAGCTTTCCATGTGGCCAGAAGGGCCAACAGACCAAGGGCCCGCAGAGATTCTGTATCCCATATGCCCTTAAAATTTAACACTGACCCGTTGAGAGGGATCCTGCAGGCCTGTGATTGCTGTGAAGTGAGGTGAGGTGACTTCAGGGCTGGTGATAAGAGTCAATTGGCCTTCGCTGGGTCCTCTTGGGCTGCCATGCTATGAGGAGATTCAAACCGCATGTCTTCCAGGGAGGACGACAAAAGTCCAGTCGTTTGGGGGAAAGGATCAGGGAATGGCCATAGGCAAAACAGGCCTTGCAAACCAAAGAACAAAGCCCTGGGGACCTGAGTCCAAGAGACAAAAAACCAGGCTCACAGGAATAAAAGATTAGCTTTATCTCTGTTCCACTTAGAGTATACCTAGTATGCCACAAGACAAGAAGCTCAGCTCTAAATTTTAACCTTATCTTTCTGTGCCTTCTTGCAGAAATTTCTCATGCATTGCTTTCCCCTCACAGAAGCACTCTCTATTCCTGGTGGCCACCATGTAGCCATCTGCTGCTGATCGAAGAAGGTTGATGATTTCTGGAAATCATCAGTAATCATGAGACAAACCCTCCCTTTTGTTATAAAAGCAACTTCCCCCTTCTACTCAGAGAGCTTCTGCTTAGAAAGCTGGCACTTTTTTTTCCTGCTTTCTCCCTTACGAACAAACTATCTCTTTTAATAAAAAGCTTTGTTTGCCTACAAGTCTTGTGGAAGTGACATTCATTTCTTTGATATTGTTGTCTAAGAATCTGGAAAGAGCCTGTAACAGAGAGACCCCAGCGTAGACCCCTAGCTTGGTGAGCGAGGAAATCTTTGAGCCAGCCCCGGCCCCACCTCCCAGGCTGCAGCTACACCAGGGCCCCAGCCTGAGTTAGGGAGGGTGTGACCCTAAAGTTCTTTGTTCAAGAAGGGCTCAGAGAATGAGGTCCTGACCCCTTGACCTTGACCTAAATCTCCCTCTCCATAGCTGGGAGGAGGCTTCCCTGGACACTATCACAGTGAAATATAGAATGTATTTCTCCAAACACAAACCTGTCCGGGGCCTCCCTGTCTGCTGGTTTCAAGGCTTCTTTTCAGGCAGATGCCGAGGGTCCATGCCCTACCTCCTAGCCCTTGTGGGGCCCTGTAACCAAGGGTGCATTTTGGCCCCAAGATGTGGGAGCACTGACTTACGGATTGAGAACAACCTCTGGGCTTGGCTGGGAGTAAACACCTGCCTTCCTCACCGGCCCTCTCCAGCCATTGGGGTGATTCTGAACCCTGAAGTCTCCCACTGTTCCCCGCCTGGAATGCCCACCTGTGTCCCTGAGGGCCTTGTCCTCCAGGGCCTCCACTGAGAGGACACTTGGCTGTAGGAGGCTGGCCTCAGGGACATGGCCGGGGGCAGGCTGCAGGGAGGCTGCAGAGGAACCAGCCAACAGGGTGTCTTGTAGATGTCTTTCAGCATCTCTGCTGCTCAGTGTCCCCATTCACACTGCTGGGAGCCGGGCGTGGCTGCACAGCATGTTCCCGGCCTCAGAGACCCAGTCTTCCTCACAACGACACTGCCAGCAGCATAACTCAAATTCGGAGCTGCCAGTTCCACGGACTTTGGTCTCTTGGAGAGGTGAGTGGTGGTTCCCTGCTCTGGATCTGGATTGGCTTAGCCCCTGTGGCCCTGCTTCCAGCACTGACATCCAGGACTTTATGGGGGTGGGGCTTACCTGGGGGCAGGGATCACCTGGTCTGGGGCTCACCTTAGAGGTGGAGCTCCCCTGGAATCCAGGATCAGCCAGTCAGACCCGACAAAGGGAAGGGACTCAGCCTGCATTTGGCATCTGACCAGAGGCAGGCTGGGTTGGGGTTCATGTAAGGCTTGGAGCTTGGCCCCGGGACCCCAAAGAGAGAGGGTTTGCAGTCTGGAGAAGCTGTCAGGGCCTGCCTTGGGCCTGATGGGGGCTGGGAGAAAGCTGGGGTCACCCAAGTCTAGAGCGAAGTGGCTCCTTGCTGGCAGCAGCTGCTTCCCTTACTGTGCTGGCCTCTGCCCCTCACCAAAGCTATCGCTGCAGGCTCTGGCCAGCATCTGGATAATGCCCAGGCCTGAGACAGGACTGCCCCTCTCTCCTTTGAGCTACCTACCTCTTTGGGCTCCAAGCACACAGGCCTGGCCGTGTTCTTTGTTCTCACCATCTGTGTACTCAGCCATGCCTCTCCCGGCTGGGCCAAGCCAGTGCCTGGCACAGAGTGACACTGACTGTTTCCAAGGAGCTGCAGGGGCTCATCCTGGGCCTTGCTCCCCGGATGGTCCCTGCAGAATGGTTTCCTCTCCCAGCCATCCTAGAGCTGAGCCACGTGTCCCTAGAGGCCAGCAGTGGACACATAGACACGTGTCTGTATGTGCACTCACACACGTGTGCACACATCACACACACATACGCACGCACACACACATGCATGCATACACATTCACATACACACGCGGTTGTAAACAAAAGTTAGTTTTATTTTACTCCCTTTGTTTTAGAGGCTGTGTCTGAATTGGAGATGGGGCTGGAGGGCAGAGGGGCGGTGGTGGGAGCCTCAGAACCCCTTCCCCCAGCATGGCCAAAGCCGCAGCCCCTGACCACCATCCTGTTTGTCAGCGTGGCGAGGGGGCCAATGTCTTTTCGGAACTTCAAGTATGTCCCAGAGGGAGGGGCCACGCCAGGCCAGTGCAGAAGCTGGATAGGGCATGGTCCCATCCACACCCTCCAGGGCCTCAGCCCCAAATCCGTGTGGGCAGGGAGCAGGAAGCAGGGCGCAGCCCCACCTGGCAGCTCATGTTCTGGGGCTTAGTGCAGATGAAACAGGAGACAGTGTAGACCTGGGCTGGGCCCAGGGGCCTCTGCCTACCCTGCTCTCTGTTTTCCTTTCTGTACAAGAAAGACCTGGCATTTCTTCCAGCTCCGCAAGAACCAGAAAGTGGGCTAGAGGAGCGTGGCTTCTAGGAAAGGAGCCCCATTTGCTGGGCAGGGAGTGGGGACAAGCACAGCATTCTCCTATACACAGGCCAGGCACCCCTGACAGTCACACATGGGCTGCTGAAGGGAAGCAGGGGTGGAGGGGGCAGAGCTCCCACCTGGCCAACATTTTTGTCCTGAGGTGGCCAGCTGGGTGGCCCTGGGGTGGTGGGTGGGAGGCAATGCCCCAGCCACAGTTCCATTCACCTGTCAGGGTTTATGAATCAGAGCTGGGGACCCTTCATGGTTCCCAGGCCTGCCTTTCCCACCCGACCCTAGATGGAGATGAGGCTCAGGTGGGGAAGCGTAGTGATGCAGGGCAGGCTGGTGCCCACGCCCCCACCCCCACTCTGTCACGAGGTGGGGGGCAGCCAGCTGAGGAGGAGGAAGGTAGGTGTTCTGCCTCTTAGGTGTCCAGCCCACATCCTTCCCCTAGCACACCTCACCACCCTCCCTGGTGTGGCGGGAGGAGGGAGAGCAGCCAGGACAGGGCCTCAGATCCACACGGTGGTCTTACCCTCCCTGCTGCTGCTCGCACTGCCCTTCTCTGAGCCCACCCTGGGTTTGGCGCCTGGCCGGC